TCAAGTTCTAGAGTGCTGGGATTACAGGTGTGCCCCACCCAGCTGTTTGGTTTTGAGGCGGGGTCTGTCTAAGGTATTGCAGCCTCAGTGGGTCCTGAAGCCTGGATCCTCTTACCTCAGCTTCCCGAGTGGTGGCCTGACAGGCCTGTGCCACTGCCAGGTTTCCTTTGCTTTATTTATTTATTTATTTATTTATATTTATTCATTTTAATGAGAAAAGGTAAAATAGCAATGAAACAGTTTCAAAACAGGTTAGTAAGATGTTTATAATAATTAATGCATCACATATTGTCTTTGTAGTAATTCACAGGACAAGATGTGGACATAATTGCCTGGTTTTAGGTTGAGTTGTTATTTTATTGATGTTATAGAGTGCTAAGGATCACTCCCCCGCACCTTTTTTGTCTGTATTGGGGGCCTGAATCCAGGGAATGCAGTGAGAACATTCCAGTGTTTTTTATTTTATTTTATTTATTTTTGAGACAGGGTTTCGATTTGTCCATTCTGGCCTCAGCTTTACAAACCTCTTTCCTCAGCTCCTAGGTAGCTGGAATTACAGGTGTATGCAGCCACACCTGGCCTGAGAATACATTTTTGGATCTATGATTTGTAAACCTTTCCTCCCATTCTGAATATTCTTTTCACTTTTTGGATAGTGTCCTTGAAGCACAAGCATTTTTAATTTTGATGAAGTTCAATTTAACTGTTGGTTAGGGGCTGCTTGTGAGATCATATTTAAGAAACCATCTACTAATCCAGGTTCCATGACACACCTGTTTTTTTCCCTCCCCTCCCCTCTCCTCCCCTCCCCTCCCCTCCCCTCCCTTCCCCTCTCCTTTTGTGACAAGGTTTCCTGGCATAGGTCAAGGCTGTTGGTGATCTCACAGTGTAGCCCAGGCTGGCCTCAAATTCGTGGCAGTCCCCCTGCTGTAGCCTCCTTAGTACTGGGATTACAGCCGTGCTGCACCACACCCAGTAGGTGCACCGGCTTTCTTGCAAGAATCTGGTAGTTTGAGCTCTTACATTTAGGTCTTACTCCATTTTTAGTTCCTTTTTACTTATGATACGATTCTTTTGTATGTCGGCAGGTTGTGGAGCTGGCAACTTTTGTTAAATATGGTTCTCTTTTTAAGTGTTCTTTCTCCCTACTGCATTTTACCATCAGGTATTTGCATGTTTGCAGGTAGTATTCCTGTAAGATTGTGGAATACACAGTTTATACCAAGACTGTGTCTTCGCTTAGAGGCTTCGCTTAGAGGCTTGTGCTTAGTTGAGACGGATCGTGGCATATGTTCATGAACCTGTTAAGTGGTGTGTAATTAAGGCAGAGGAGTGGGGGAGAGAACAGAAGCTACCAGGAATTCAGAACTGGATGGGACAGAGGTCCATAAGGGAGACAAACCTTGAGGCTAAGTTAGGCTCGGTGCAGGCGGACCAGAAACTGCCTAACTGAGCTCCTGAATATTTGTTCCTGGATATATGGGATGCCTGCACTTGATCTTAGCCAAAAGGCCGAGAAACGATATGGGACACCTATTGGACAAATTTAACATACCGTCTTCCCTTAGCCTAAATTGTATTATTAGGAATTAGAATCACCTGAAATAATCCTTGTTGTGCTTAGAGGTAAGGGCTATTTCTTAGCTATCCCATGTTGGATTGGGTGCCTTATCCACGTGCCACCTTCTGTTTAGCTTTCTACTTTTCCCAGCATTGTTGGCCCAGACTTGCCATATTCCCTCGTCATTCATAGTCCCTACAACCTTCTAGGATTTCTTTTCTTTCCTTTCTGATGAGATCTTGCGATGTTACCCAGGTTGGTCTCAAACTCCTGGTCTCAAGCACTCCTGCTTCTACTTCCTGAATAGTTCGGAATACAGACATGTGCCAGCACAGCCAACTTCCTGAGATTTCTTACGAAGCTCACTGGCAGTTTCCACATACGTTTTCTCAGTCCAGTGGCTAGGTTCCAGTTCGTTCTCACTGGGCTTAGCAGTGCATTTAGCACAGTTGGTTAGTCCTACTACCCTGATGTGCTTTCTTTTCTTCTCTTTTTTTTTTGAGACCCAAGTCGCATTGTGTAGCGCAGGTGGCCTGTGCGGTGCCACACCTGGTTTGTTGGTCTTCTTTCCCTTTCTGTGGCACCTCGCCCCTGTGCTGCTCCTGCATCTGCGCCTAAGTCCTTGGCCATTTCACTTAGTCTCATGACCTCAAGAAGCACTTGTGTGTGTGTGTGTGTGTGTCAGATTTGGGTCTCCAGCGCTGAGACAGTTGCTGTGGCTCTCCACAGAGTTGCATCTTCAGCTGCTACCCACATTTTCCCTGCGGTGCCTGCTTAACATCTGAAGTTAAACTTCAAATTGAGCTTTTTAGCTTTCCCAACCCCTCAGACCTGCTCAATATTTTTCATCTTAGTGGGAGACAATTTCAAAATCTTTGTAGTTGGATCAGGCTACAGATGTTGGAGACACAGAAAACCTCTTTCAGATTCAGGCCAGAAGTCCTAAGCCAAGGCTGTTGAGATTGCTGCCCTAGCTCCTGCGCCTGTGTAGTGGAGGGGGTGCTGTATTGAAGCGTCCTGTCACTTTTTGTGGTTCTCTAAGTCTCCCTGTCACTCAGCATAAAAACCAAAGTCTTTCCAGTGCCAAAAAGACCTTAGAACAAGCCCCGTGTGTCTCTTGGACCTGTTCTGCTGTGTTCCTTGGCTAGAAAGCACCTTTACATTCCCCAGCTGTTGCTTTACGGTTTGCGTAGTCCAGCTGTAGCAGTAGGTTTTGTATGCCCTCTGCTTGGAATGCTTTCCCCAGGGTAGCCCCAGGGCTGATTCCTTCACTGCTTTGGATTCTGAGTCCACTCCACTGTTCTTTGTTCCACGAGGTCTGCTGTGTCCATCCACCCTGTTTTTGGTAATTGGTTAAACCCACTGCCCCAGCCTCTTTTACTCCCCACACACCCCCCCAGAAGCATGCATCAGCTTTTGTCATGATTTGCTTATTTATTATGTTATAGCTGTCATGAGAAATAAGAGACTTTTAGTAGTTGTTTCACTGCAAAATCCTGGAAGGCAGGAATTTTTGGTTATTATTCTGCTTCACTGCTATCCCTGTTACTAGTACATATTCGTTAAATGAATACTCTTGGCCCCCCCCCCCCAATTGAATTAGAAACTTCAGTGTGTGGGAGTCCAGCTACCAACTGCTTTAACTAGGCCTGCTGGTGAGTCAGATGTAAATGCAAGTTTAAGAGCCATTGCTTGAATATTGAGTAGGATTTCAGAAAGCGGCTGTTGCTTCCTGGTGAGGATGTGGAATTGGATTTGTCATCTATCCCTGTCTTTTTCTTTTCCTGCTAGATGAACCGTTTGGAAGGAGTTAGCACAGGGAAAGAACCAATAAGCTGCAGTAACCTTCAGTGCTTTATCATGAGTTGGGGTGTCCCAAGTTCACCCGTAGGTCCCAGCAAGTTACCAAGGGGATCTTACCAACTCAGCAGATTGTCAGCAGATTTATTATAGCAGAAGGATACAAAGAGAAAAAGGTCACAGGACAAAGTTCAGAGGAAACCAGGTGAAAGGTTCCGACAGTTCTCTTCCAGTGGAATACACAGGACCTGTTTAATTTCTCTCATAACAAGTTATGACAAGTAGAACCTCTATGCTCAGGGTTTATATTCAGAGTTGGTCATGCAGGCACCCTCTTCCTAGACCAGAGTTTCAGATCCTTGAAAGAAAAGCAAGTGTCTTCCCTGAGCCACATTGTACAACAGTTTAGGTGTAGTGAGCCAGGGCGGCTGAGGGATTGAAAACAGGGTCATTGAGACAGGGTTTTTGGACCTGAACTTATGATCCTCTTGCCTCAGCCTCCCAGAGCGCTGGGAGTATAGACATGTGCCATCATACCTGGCTGTAGAGAGCCATTCTTTTCAGAGGGTGTGTTGGGGTGTGTGTATTTCTTGAGTAAGCAGTTATTGAGGTAGTTGTTGGCTCAGAAGCAGTTATCATTTTTACCACTGGGCCAGCTCTGCTCAGGAAGTTCCTTGTCCTCATGGGACCTAGTCCTGAATTCCTAGCTCAGGGGTCAGCTGGTGACCAGTTTGGCATGCAGGATTTTCTAAAGACTATAGTATCAGGCCCGTTGTGTTAATTCTTTTGTGTGTGTATATATGTATGTATGACTATATATATATCATAGTATCCAAAGAAGTGTCCTTGTGTATTTTTTTTTGTTACTTACTTATATAGAATGTCAAGAATATAGAGCATACACACCTATAATATTCAACAACGGAACTTAAAAAAAAATTGGGGTATAACTATGAATGTCCATTTTGTATCTGTGTATTCAAAGTGGTTGGGATAGATACATAGTTGCATTCTCTTAATGAATAGAATGATTTTTTCTAATGGTGTTTGTAAGTAGGATCACAAGTCTGCATCTTGTACAGCAATTAACCGCTAAGAAGAATATATGCAGTGTATTATTTGTTGAAACTGTACTTTCGATTTGATTTGAAACTGTCTCATTGCTATATGTTTATCAATAAAACTTTGAAAAGAAAAAAAAAAAGAATATAGAGCAACCAAAATGTTCTGAGACTTAAACATTTTAATTGAGTTGACTAGCAAGTTTCTGCAAGATAATTCACAGTAGTCACATTTGTGCTTTTTCCCCCCAATTATAAAGTAGTTTATTTCATGCTAAAGTTTTATTTCCAGATATAAATTCACATACTTTTTGAAGATTCACTTGAAGGGGCCGGGGAGATGGCTCAGTAGAATTAGCCCTTGCCTGGTAAGCGCAAGGGCCTGAGTTCAACCCCTGCTTCCGTTTAAAAAAAAAAAAAAAAGATTCACTTGAAAAAATAATGTCTGTTGTGAATGTGACCATCTGTTTCAAAGCTGATACTGGGTATTTTTCCCCCTTCACTTTTTTTTCATGTTCGATGTTCCAGAGGGTCTATTTGTCATCTTTCAGAAGTAACCAGTCCTTTCTTTTTAATAGGCCAAGATGCTGAATTATCAGGGACGCTTTCACTTGTCTTGACACAATGCTGTAAAAGAATAAAGGACACCGTTCAGAAATTGGCGTCAGACCACAAAGACATCCACAGCAGTGTTTCTCGGGTTGGGAAAGCCATTGATAAGGTAAGTACTGAAGGAAGATTTGGAATGTTCAGCGTCCTCCTCCTGGCAGTGTTTTGATAGCTTTAGTTGTTCCAAATTATTTTCTGCTAGTCCTTTCTTTTCTTTTGATAACTTGTACAGCTCTGGTTTTCCTGTGTTGCTGTTATTAAAGTTCTTTTGCTACTATTTAAAAAATTAAAAACCCATCTCCTTATATAGCTTTGTTCCTATGCCTTGATGAAAATAGTTACAGAGAAATTTTAACCCAGGATGTGGGAGTTTGTTTACAGGAGTAACTTTTCTTACTTCCTGAGTAGCTTCCTGGCTGTGGCTATCTCTGTTAAGAGATGACTGGAATAACACCTTTGGGACTCTTGCCTCACCCTTACCTTATCTTCTGTCGGGTGCTAGTTGCTTTTCTTTAGCATTGCCTTCTGTGTGAGTGAGTGAGTGAGTGAGTGAGTGAGTGAGTTGGTAGCCAGCAAAACTAGTTCCTTTCGTTGAATTACTGAGGAGTGTGTGTGTGTGTGCGCGCGCGGGTGTGCGGGTGTGTGTGTATTTCTTGAGTAAGCAGTTATTGAGGTAGTTGTTGGCTCAGAAGCAGTTATCATTTTTACCACTGGGCCAGCTCTGCTCAGGAAGTTCCTTGTCCTCACAGGACCTAGCAGATTAGCCCAGCTCTCTGCTAACACTGACTACTTGAACCTGTGAGGAGACAGTGACTGGTCATGGGCATTTCTGCTCACACATAGTAAACTTCAGGGAGAGCAGGCCAAATGTGTGAGGAGAGTGGTCTGTAGCAAAGGCATTTCTAAATGTGCAGTTTTAGGAATTACCATATCTGTATGCACAACAGTGATGACTGTAACTGAAAACAGAAGCTCCTTGAGTCCCAAGAGTGGTCTAACTCATGGGTCGCCCAGCTGTTGGAAGCTATCTTAGAGCTCAGTCCTGTAGTATTAGAAAGGTGGGCTTGAGGCTAAGTCAGAACTGCTTCTAAGGAGGTCCTGTTCACTGGTAGGTATGTTAGGACAGGACCGTGGGGCAGGAGCCCTGGGAACTTGTTTGGCTATGGCTTATAGACATGTTAGTGGCATTTCAGTTAGATGTCACTGCTTCCATGTGATATGAAGACTTTGGCACAGAGGTCAGAGAATGGTGTTCACAGTGTCGGGGTTCTAGCCGTATCATTGGGCCCATTGTGACAGTTGCCAGCAGACCTGGGAAGGCAGTACATAGTCTTAGAAACACCTTTGAGGTTGTGGAGCCTGTTTGCTAACTCCAAGGCAGTGAACATAGCTTCAGCAGGGAGGGATGAGACCTATTCGGAACTGTGCCGTTGGAAGCCTGCTGTTAGTAGTACCTGGAGAGCTTGCTGTGCATTAGCTTCAAGGCCATGGGGCTAGGGCTAGGGTCCTTCAGAGATGGTCTTAAATCACTTGTGGGCAGAGAGCCCTTAGTTCCTGGGGCAGTAACTACTGGTGATACTTAAGAAATTTTAGGCGGTTTCTGACGCTTGGCGGCTGTGGTTTTACGGTGCAGTTATGGCCAAGTCCAAGAACCACACCACACATAACCAGTCCCCAAAATGGCACACATGGCATCAAGAAACCTTGGTCACAAAGATACAAATCTCTGCAGGAGGTAGATTCCAAGAAGCACAACAAGAAGGGCTCAAGAAGATGCAGGCTAACAGTGCCAAGGCCAGGAGAGCATGTGCGGAGGCTGTCAGGGCCCTCGTCAAGCCCAAGGAGGTCAAGCCCAAGGTCATCCCAAAGGGAGTAGACTGCAGGCTCACTCAGCTTGCCTGTATTGCCCACCCCAAGCTTGGGAAGCTGATCCGTGCCCGCATTGCCAAGGGTCGCAGGCCTTGCCAGCCTAAGGCCCAGGCTCCAGCCAAGGCCCAGGCTCCAGCTTCTGCTCCAGCCAAGGCCCAGGCTCCAGCTTCTGCTCCAGCCAAGGCCCAGCCTCCAGCTTCTGCTCCAGCCAAGGCCCAGGCTCCAGCTTCTGCTCCAGCCAAGGCCTCCAAAGGTGCCCAGGCCCCCAAGAAGGCTCCACAGTAAAAGCCTCTTACCTGCTGACGTAAAAGCAGAGGGACTGGTGTGACCCCTGGAGTGCCATTTGTGGAGGGCTCCTGTGCTTTTTATACAAATAAGCCTTAGGCAGGAATAAAAAAAAAAAAAAAAGAAAAGAAATTTTAGGTTTTGGTGACAGAGTGTGACCAAGGCATCTGTTGATTCTGATAGCTCACAGTAGGCTCCTGGCGATATCTGCTGAGCCACCAGACTGTCTGCTTGTAATTACCAAGGGTTCTCTTCTGGACCGGGGAACCAGAGGGTGCTATGACAGGGATGACAGGACTCCCAGGGTAGCCAGTCCGAGACTATACCAGGGAAGGAGCCTTGATTCTTTGAGTGGGAGTCTTCTCGCAACCATAACCTCAGATGTGGGCCGCGGGCCGCCTGGTCAGAAAGAGTTGGGTGAGCAGTGCACTAGCTGCCCTTTCTGCTACCAGGAGACTGCGAGTGTTTCCTCCTACTTCCTGGTTGAAGTCTGTTGTCTTGTCATAAGTATTGTCCAAACCCTCTTTTCTTTGAGTCTTCCTCGTTGGGCACTTGCTGAGTATGCTGTCTTCAGACCCAGCCGGTCTTTACAGATATGCCTGTGGGGTCATCAGCTGCCTTGACTAATCTTTACGGCAAGGCATTTGGAGGTATTTGGTGCCAAAAATGGAAATGTCTCTTTGGATATGAAGAGAATACATTTATAGTGAATAATCTACATTCTGACTTTTTGAGGGGATGGGCTATTTGAGGTGAATATTCCTAATTATATTTTAAAGTTTATTCTTATTCATAAGATTCCAGGTGACCTGGATTCTTTCATACTTCATATGAAACTATTATGGAGCTGGTATAGTCTGTGTTGGCTTATAGTCCAGAGCCACAGAGAAAGCCTGAGCCTTTGAGCCCAGTTTGCTGACATCTTTTAGCACACTTTCTGCACCTATGTGGGGCATCTGCTTACTTCAGCTCAAGAGGAAGTGCTGCCTAGAAGCTACCTAGGCATTGAACAGCCTTCTCTTGTCTGTGTGGGACTCTGTGGCTCCTGTCACATCAGACTCCATTGTTATAAGTCTTCCCCTCTTAACTCAAGCCTAGTAAGTGGTGCAAGCTCGGGGCAGCCTGTTGTAGAGCTGGGTGGACTCATGGATTGGTGTTGTGCAAACTGGATAAGGCTGAAGCTCTTGAGGTGCCCAAGGTTTGTGGACACCACAACAGAGACCTGTGTGATGGGTCGGAATGCTGTCCAGCCGCTCCCAAGTGCCCTTCGACGGACGCACACTCTGTCCTCCCAGGATGACAGCCAGGGAAGCCAGTGGGGCTTTTATGAGTCATGGGTTTTTTTTTGTTTTTGTTTTTAAAAATATTTTGACAATAACTGGTCTAAAGTGAATATTAGACCATTAAATCCTGCCTGAAACCAGAAAGCTATGAGTATATACTTTCTGCAGATTGAAAGAGTAGGGATGTGGAATAGTGTGTGAGGACAAAAACTTGCTCCTTCCAGGGGGCAGAAGAAGGTTAAGAAAGGACCAGTTGATAGCCAGGTGTGGTGACACATGCCTGTAATCACAGTGCTCTGGTCCTGAGACGCTGATCACTGTGAGTGTGACAGCGGCTCAGATTGCGCAGTGAGACCGTGTCAGCTCCTGCCCCACAACAAAGGAGTGTTCGAGTTGTCAGACCTGTACGTTACTGCATGCATGTTAGTCACCTTCATGTAACCCACATGAAGACTCTTGAAGAAGTACTTTTATCGTTATCCTGTAGATAAGAACATTGACATTTAGGAAGCTGAAGATCACAGACACAGTGGTTCAGCTGAGGTAGAAATTTTTTACTCGGAAATGCTATTATTTGTAGGGTCCATTTCAGTGTACCTAGGATACTGTAATGAACAGACTGACTTTTTAGTAAGTAACATCAGTATTCTGACATGTTAAATGTGTTTTTAGTGTTTTAAGACTTATGTGTTAGTATTCTCTGGTTATTCTCTGAAAATGAAAGCAGAGAACTTTGTGGTATTACTGACATTTTATATTTTAACTTTTGTTTATTTATTTATTTATTTTGAGATAAGGTTTTGAGAGAGGGCCTCACTATGCAAGTCTCCCTGTGCTGTTCAGGCTGGCCTTGAACTCACTAGGTAGCCCAATTTGGCCTTGAACTGTGGTGATCTGCCTGAGCCACCCATTACAGGTTTTGCCACCACACCCACTGGGCTTTTAAATTATTAGGAATATACAAAGTTATAGAAGATTTCTGCTTTAGCACATTCACGATAGAGCCATAATTGTATGTCTTCCTGCTGGGAGACTTGAACCATTGGTCGGTCATACTTGTGTGACTGTCCCATTGGGTGCTGGCTTGTACTGCTGGTGATACAAGTGGTACAGTCCTGCCTGGAGCAGGTGTGCATGTGTCACTGATGGTTCAAGCTGGTGGGCACATGTTAATGTGTTAACATTTTAAAATGCCTATAGTATGAGGATCTCTTTTAATTAAAGAATACCAGCCCCTAAGATTCTTTGACATGTAACTGGGTGTGGTGCCCACCTCTCATCCCAGCACTTGGGGGGCTCAGGTAGGAGGATCACCAAGAGTTTGAGACCAGCCAGGGGTACATAGTTCAAGGCCAGCCTGGATTACTGTATGAAACCCTGTCTCAAAAAAAAAAAAAAAAAAAAAAAAAGACTCAGTGACATGTTTTTGTTTTCTTAAGACAATGTGTTGTACTGTTTTTAATTTCCTCTTTAATTTTAGAAATTGTAGAATTCTGTCCTCAGGGCATTTTGTTCAGTAGTTTGCTTAGTTATTTGACCTTTTTTTTTGTGAGGTGAGAAAATCAATAAGAATTGTTAGTGCTTTAGACTTTGCAGCTGTGTGTGTTGCTGAACTAAATACTACTAAGGGGTTAAAGTGTCTTAAATGTGCTATGGTGTAGTTAGAAGCTAGAAG